CATGAACTCCCGTGTTCAGCAGGCCGAACGTCGTTGGCAGCTTCTTCGGCCAATAATGCAACATTTTTCCAGTCGGATCTGTCCACTTCAATTTTGTTGCCCCAGTCCACCCTGCTCAATACGACGTCACTGCTTGGTGGTAGCGCATCTGTTGCAAACGCTGGCAATGGGAACAACAACAGCAATAGCAGTAGCAATACTGCTAGTGGGGTTGTAACTGGTACCACTGGTGGCAACCCTCCGAACGCAGATGCTGGTATTAACACTCACTTCCTTCCTTCACCTAATTTATCGCGTGTGAACTCCTCTTTCAACCCGAATGGCTTGTCCGTTTCTACTTCGGGACCTGGTTCCAAAGTGGTTGACGAGTGCCGCCGGAATATGGCTGGAAACCTCCTATCTACTAGTACAAATGGCCGAAACGATCAATGTAGGTCACTCATAGTAGTACCGTATTTTAAGTGTTTGGCTCCTTCTCTGTCTTTTCCATTACTTGGGTGTTGTTGATGGATAGACCCCAGTTGAACTAGCGAACGTGAATCCTTCCATTAAGAGTGGCCCTCAGGAACTACTCTGGTCTTGCTACTGATCGCTAATCTCGTGTTCATTAACTGATGTTCATTGTGGAGTAATATTTGCCGGAATTAATCGCGCATCTTTTCCGGCTATGCCTATAATTGTGGAGTGATGGAACGTAAAGGCTTTCTTTCCGGTATCTTCATTCATAAAAGTCTCAGAAAGGCGATGTCTTGTCCTTGCATATCATTTAGCCTAAGTACTGAATTAATGCAAAGCGATTCCTTGAATTTGACTGGTGAGGTCAATCGAATTTCTTTAGGTTGACTGTTTTTTGAAAGCCCCTGGTAAGAAGGACAGACGAAGGTCCGAAGTCATGTGAATGAACCCACCTCACATAGATCCCCAGTGGAATAGCCTGAAAGTACAGATACTGTTTTTCTAATTTCCCATACCCATTTACCAGTGGAACGCAGAGTGCAAACTACAAGGAGGAATATTCATACGAGAAGACACTTTCGTTCGACCCGATTTATTTCACCACTGAAGCCTGTTTTGGAGAAGACACCCCAAACCAGTGATGACCAGACTAAAAAATCAACTCATCACGCAGTGCTTACCGTGACTTGTTTGGGTCACCTCAGGATTTCAGTGCTACTTATACCGTCCGAGTCTTTGTTGTCACTGGTAGACAGGACAACTGCTTCAGGCCTTTGATGTATCTCACACTGAGGATACACTACCTCGTCAGTACACACTGATGACTTCCCCTCAATTGGTAACGAAGAGTTCACACTCCAATTGTGGGCGGACAAACCGACCAAACTGGCACCTGGCCTACCCGTGTGTGGTAACACTGACAAGGTTCATATCTTACCTGGTTTTAGTGAACTGCACCAACCGATTTCTGATCAGCATTGAGTCACATCAGAGCTGCAGTGTTATTAAAATAGCGTCACTGACTGAGCAAGTACAAGTCCAAACGTTCCGTTCTGGTAAGCTAGGTTCAGTCGCAGCCCTCCTTAGCTGAAAGCTAATCACGGTTCCCAATAATCACACAAGCGTAGAATATCCAATTATAGCATCCTTTTAGCGCCGTGTGCACAATTTCACGGTAATATCAGAGGAGGAATAGCCTAGTTGTTTGTGAGGAGGCATCACATTATGGTGATGGGTCCGGAAAAGTCAGTAGTAAAATTAAAACGGGCTGACTCGACCGGAACTTGTTTTGTTGCAGCTTCAGTCAACACCATTCAAACCTGGAATGTTTGCACCGTGCATCTTCATCATCAGCGACGCCGTCCTATATTGGCTTGGGATTTTCATGCCAACGTGTAAAATCAACCTTCTCCACAGTGCTGCCCTTTCCAACCTAAAACAATCAGACCAGACGCTCCAAAACCTGTTGTAACCCAGGTCCCCTACATGAATAATCACAGTATAATGAAATCTCATCAACAAGAGACGTCTCAATTGAGTATATTCAATCTCCCATGTGGTCACTGCCACAATTCTCAACACTTGTAGATACCCCATTGGACTACACAGAGGAACATCGCGTTTCCACTGCGCTTTTATCCCCTCTTGCTCAATCTGGCCTGCAAGCGTTTTGGCGAATGACTTCAGGTCGCCAACTCGCTCGTTCAGTATTAAATTTCGACCAGATTGTAAAGACGGATCTTCGAGTGGCCACAAGCGGATTGAGTTTGTCTTGAGCCGGTGTTGTCGGATGGCCACACCGCAGGTCCTTTTCTTAGACGATCAGCAGTTGAACGAAAATACTTTATCTGCGTTTAAATATAAGTTGGTTAGGGCCAGAACTGACATGCGAATTTGTGTCTGATATTTTTGACCTCCACTGCCTTAACTTTAGACTACACATTACCCTCCTTAGCTTCTTACAGTTGCTTACTGTGGCACCAGCAACCGGCTCGCAGTTACTCCTCGAAATGGAAATTGGAGATTGGGCTCGTAAGAGGAAACGCCGCAACCAACCACAGATCGTAGAGAAACGAATCGCAATTTGTTTAAGATAAAACACGTAGTTCGCCAATACTAAATATTCCGAACAGGTCAGTCAGCTCTATAATGTACTCCAAGAAGACTAAAATACCCACCTCGGGAAAATTTTATCCCAGCGGGATACATTACATGGTAGTAAATACGAATGGTTTCTCCGCACTCGTATCAGAAATATTGCGGTTCATGGCATAGTTTAGGAGAAAGCGGTGAAATTTGGGGTACATTCATTCCACAGGTACCGTTGACTACCTTGTAAGACGCAAATTTCATGGAATCATCTGTTATGTGGTGAAAAGTAAGTTACTGGAAAGGTCAACGGAAATTATTCCGGGCGATTCTATCACCTTATGTACACATTATGCTTGGAACTAACCTAGTTCTCAACGGCAGTAAACGCAGTTCTTGTGTTGAACGATGAATTCAGCTCTGGAACAAACGCATCTATCTCCTATTGGGGCTATCAGGGTTTTGGAGGCCATAATGCTGTTATATGGACCGGATACGTTGCAACTACATTGTGGCCTGTTTGACCACCTGAAACATCAGTAAATACGTCTATCATATCTGGGATGCCTAGGATGAATGCGCTGATTTCCATTGAGTATTGAAACATGAGTCCACAAAACCCTTGATGAAGGACAAAAATAACAACAATAACGCTCGTTCAGCTGTAACACCGTTTCGGTGTCTAGCTGCCATGTAACCCAAAGGAAGCACTAGGGCTGGGATACTGCGAGGTTGCCCAAGCCTAGACAGAGGAAGTCGAGAGGAAGAGGTTGGGTTCGAACCACGGACCTTCCGATCAGTAAATTCGCGCTCTAACCACTGAGCCATCTCGTGCCCCTTGATAAAGGGCGTCCCACATTTAAGGGCATTATGGTTCTCCCTACGGGTGTCCCTTGTTCAGAATCGCTTAAATTCTGTGGATGCATTCTCGCAGGACGAATCGGCCACTTGCTTCTGTTACCAGACGAATGGGGACTCACCCTTTAAGGGATACTGCGGGAATCCACCGAAGGCGGTCACTACAAATGAGGTGCTTGTGAGCTATTTGACTACACGGTGATTGTGCGTAATTGTGAATGTGTTGGTTAGTCGTATGATGGCACCATATGCTTTTCCTCACCAAATTGATGTCAATACTGAATAAATAGACTAATCTTGCGTTGTACTCCGTCGCACTACCGTATCTAAACCAATCATCTTCTTACCTCCCCACAGCTTCCGCCGCCTATCTTGAACATTTGAACCCGGAATCAAAAGATATTCGACGCCGAGTCAGCCACAATGAGGGTAGGTTTTTTCATTGTAAATTCTCCCTCCCTGGCCACGGGCCTGCTTTTAGCAACCTTTTTCTGGGCTTTGAGTTGCCTTCGGCAAGAACAGTCTTCTAGAATGACGCTGAGGTCGAAAGACTTTGGTCATTCATGTTCAACCTCATCAAATAAAGTTTTAAACTTCCGTCAGGAAAACCCTACCTACCTAGAGGATGCTTGTGATATCGCACTATACGATTTAGTCCCTGAATCCTGAATAAATGTGGTGCGCTTTGAAATCAGTTTTCCATGTCGGAGTGACTGGATGCTATTTCAAGAGTGAGTGGCTTTATAAACAGTCGACAAAGTTTGATCAAATGTACTGTTGTTCTCTCCACTCTTGTCGAATCGCTTCTCCTGACTAGCTCTCCACTTGCTTTCCGATCGATTCGGTCACCCGCCACCTCATTGTGCTACGTAATCGGTGAATATTCCGTTGGTCGTCTTGCCAAGTATTTTGACAGACATTTGGTCATTCAGACTCATATCAGTTATGAGTGAATCTCTGGATTTCTGCTGAGCGGGTTGATGGAATGATGACAGAAACCACCTGGAGTACCCACAGCCTCTTCATCGATCGTGTCGCACATCCGCGTTGTGCAAGGGGTTCATTTAAAACATTGCTGTCCGACAGAAGCCCTAGTCCTCACGCATCCGGTGAATTTATTTTGAAAAATCTGAATTGACCGAAACTGTGCGCTTCTAACGTTGACTTTCCTCAGTTGACATGTTCGTAAAAATGGGTGTTTGAATGTAGGCAGCCCAGTATACTACCTCTTAGGTTAGATATTTCTGGAGACGGCATAATTAACTTGCTGATGTATACCTCAATAATTGCGAAGCATGGTCACTATGTTAGAGACGAGGTTAGTGTTGAAGTGTTGCTGGAGCCGTTTCTATCTTCAAGAAAAGACGGCGCGAAGATTGCGGCGACCACCGTGATATTGGTGTGTTCGCATTTGCTTCCAGTTGGTTGTCTGCCATCATACTCGGTCGTCTAAAGACATCGTGAACAACTGACGGACTTACGCTTGAGAAGGAGTTGTGTACACAGGTTTCAAGTTACTGTCGTTTATTTTTGAAGAACATGGTCACAAACATAAAACGTAAATGCAAGCGATGAACGTCGAAGGTTTACAGGATTGTATTAGATAAAAGGAGAGAAGCGTCCCACTTGAAGTCGTGCAACCAATATCCCCAGTCAGACAAGATGAATCCCAGCCTGTGTAAGAATGTTTGGCATGGAAGCACGCGTGTAAAGACCAAAAACCGAGGAAAGGACAAACAATGCTGAATGCTCTTTAGGGCGCGTTAAGCGCTACTACCACAGTCAAGACTCGCACATCAGGCACAAAGTGTCCCTCATGTTGGGTCTAGAGTCAATGGCAAGAATGTACACTCAACGCCATGTGCCACGTATAAAAGTCTCATAAGTACGCATAGAGCCCACAATGTGAAACAAATTCAAGTCACTGACTGTGACATTAGGAAGCCCCAGTCCAATAAAAGCCTTGGTGGATTGGGGAAAGTGGGTCCCTCGATGAGAAATGGTCATCGGTTCGTGGACCAAGGAGTCGACATCACAATCGATTGCACGTAGGGCTGAGATTATTGTGAGGGGATATTCATCAGCACCATACATCTTCTGCACTAACAGCGCTTTGATGCCATCGGTCTCGATACTAAGGGGGGAGGGTCTTTTACTCAATCGACTAATTGGTCTCCTGGCCTGGAAAGTACACATACATTTTAGTACACACCGATCAGTCTAAACTATATCACTAACTGTCACGTGCTTTAGGCACTATAAGTAGGTCCAACAACTCTGCCGTTAATCTTCGACCTCATCATCAGCGAAAGTCTAAAAGACAGTTTTGAGAATTCATATCCGGTGATGGACTGCGTGATCCAGAGTGTGTACATAGTAGTTTTCTTGGCTGACAGTCTAAGATACACAACACGACTTAGGTGAGCTATTAACCTCAGTCTGGCCTTTTGAAACGCCCTACGCGCCTTCCGGGTGCGATTAAGAAGAAGAAGAAGAACCGTTCAGCTGTAGCACCCTTTCGGTGCCTAGCTGCCATGCCACCCAAAGGAAGCACGAGGGCTGGGATACTGCCAGGTTGCCCAAGCCTAGACAGGATGCGACTAACGGAAGACGGTCCCGTGGGTCACTTCGGGAAGTTATTAAGAGTGTCATTCCTACTCTCATCCGTGAAACAACACATATATGTCCTCTTCAAGACGGAGGCCAGTTCAAAGGCGCCTTGCATGGATTCGGGTGTGGGTCGTCTAAATGGAGGACCGCGATATTAGTCATAAGGATGTTTCTGTTCCAGCAGAGTAAGTGAAGAGACAGTCAATCGCATCACGAAAGCTCGTAATGCTGAACCATCTTTGACAACGCCACAATCTCACCTTGAGGCTTGGAGGACGCATCTACAATAATTTCGTACGCGCACTATCACTCGTCTTGTCAGCTTCCACATCCCTGCTTTGTTTAATTATCTATTTGTTGGCCAAGGATGCCCGGATATCAGTAAAACATTATATTGAGCTAGGGTACCCACTGCAATACGACCACACTTACCCTTGCTTTTAAGTACAATATCAACAGTCACTTTGGATGTGACCTCAAAATATGCGTACCTTTGTTTGGTTTTGTTAAACGTTAGGGATTCCTCTCAATTTAAACGTTCGTGGTGCGGATGAGCCTCAAGAGAACGGGTACCTCTAGACATGAACAACCGAAACGGAGTACACGAATGTGGTATTCGCAGCCAGTAAATGCTATTACTGTTCACGGTCCTATGCGTTTAACCCAGATTAGTATTGACAAGTTGTATGCCCTCCATAGTACTCAGAAATTTCCCCGACTAGGATGGCAAAGTTTACAATCTATTTGGGCTGTGACTGTTCTAATTGACATTTTCTTGCACATTTTTCTACCACACCATGCACCTTCACGCTATCGTATGATAACGCTAGTCAGTTACGCTATCAGATGACCTGACGAGGGCAACAGGTGGAATCGATTGACGCTTGTCTGTGTTTTAGCGGAGTGTTACGATTGTCGATGTTGCTGGTTGTTTTGTACTGGTGTGACTTGGTGGTGCGTTCTCTTTTGGGTGCCTGCAGGAGGATGTTGGCTTTAGACACCGTTCCGTAATTTGTCTAATTAGTCAGTCAATCGTCAACCAACAGCTTTTGTTCGACCCAGCTAACATCTGGTCAGTCCAGTGTGTTTCCACTCGTGTGCACATGCAGCTTACGCATCGTCCTTCAGTATTCAAGCCACCTAGCAGATTCACACAAACAAGGTAGAAGTACACGTGTATAGATGAGCTCATTCCCTTAGTGGTGGCATGTTCACATGTGCCTAATAATCATCGCATTTGCGTGACTGCTCATCTGATTTTAGCTAGCCTTGGTGGCACCCACGTACTCAGCTGATAATAGGTTTGTGTGCGCCTGTGTAGATATTTATGTGTAGCTTGCGAGTCTGCTCACATGAAGATTTGTGTCAACGGTAATCGAACAGCTGGAATTACACATACATTTGTCAGCGAAGTCGTATTAGAGATAGTGTACATATTTAGGGTTTGCAGTAACGTGTGGTTATACCTGTCGTCGGCTAACGGCGGTCTTTTTGCGTTTTTGATTTGAATTGGACTTCAGATACACTCATGAAATCAGAGAGGTCGATAAATATCTCATGGTTATTTTGTTTTTATGCAGCTGTACCAATTTTTTTCTACTCACATCATGCAACATATCGTTCTGCTTGCAATGTTTAACATATTGATCTGTCGCAACAAATCCTCAAGTTCTGGTGAAGGTTAACATCATATGTAGAACCCTGGAAGTGAGGACGGTTTTTTCATCACCTAAAGACGTCAACCAATAATCTCATTCACACTGGTTTCTCATTTTCTTGGACACCGCTCAGCCTAGCTAATGCGCACCTCAGTCGCCATATCATCGCCTTGATTCCGCGTGCATTCCGATTTCACCGCAGTCCCTTCTTGAATAGCACACTCTATTTAAGCTATAACGCAGATATCTCGCTTCAGTTTTCAGCGGAAAATGAACCAGCGGTATCTAGCACTAACACTAATCGGTGATGAACTAGGAATCGCTGAGTTCAAAAGTGGTTGGATTTGTACAATATGCAAAATCACTAGTGAAAGCTGTTTCCGTGACTTTCCTTTGAAACCACACGGTTCAGTTCAGCTCCGTTCACTTTTTTCTATTGTAGTCGTTTATTAAGGGTACACTATTCCAGCACAGTTAGAGGATAGAAAATTAGAGAACTGTGATACATGGGATGTCATGGCGTAGTCTGTTGATTGCAGATAAGTTTTTGAAGGAATTCTGTGTTGATTTTGAATCGCTTTGTCGTTAGAGCAGGATCGGTATAATTACTCATTGACGGTTATAGCTCTGACGCAACAGCACCGGTAACTGGTTGAATAAATAATAATCCGTCACGAAGAGACTGTACCTTACCGTGGTGTGACGGTTTGCGCACCTCAGCAATCCATTGAGCTACACTGGAGAGTGTCCCGCGACACCCATAGAGTTAGCAATATTGTGGAATATAGGTAGTTCGGGTGCGCTGTTTGGTTGTTGGTCTGTTCGCCGAGCTTGGCAGTTGGATTGCAAACGTTTCATCACCAATCGGGGTGACATCGTCAGTGCACTGATGAGTGGGTGAATTCCTCCTCTTCTGTCTGTGACTATATAGCTTCTAAACAGTATCTGGTAGTTCTGGAAACGGTCGTCAAACTACACGACGACCGCAACATTCTGTGACCTCTGTTGTACAGATCAAAGCCTACGAAAAATTCTTGGCCTACTGAGCAGTTCGGTGTGTTAAGTAGGCGATATTGCTGTGGTTCCAGGATCAGCATCCCGTAGATAGGATTAGTTGAGTCGCGGCTAACTACAGAACGTCACGCAGAAGCGTTCTCAGTT